GAAAATGAACGATGTCTTTACTTCTTTTCGTTTTGAAACATCCATAATGTTAGAGATTGTAAGGATTTTCTCAACTGGTCTTGGAACACTTCTCTTTTTAGCTGAGATTGCAATACTCTGTTGGGTGAAGTTTTACAATCACAGTGAGCCTGCGGCAGTTGCTGCTTCTGTGGTATTAGTACCGGTATGCATTGTTTTGGTAAGGTTTGCTGTGCATTTTTACCGATCTCTTGTCCAACACAAGTATGAAAGATCATTTCAGGGAATTAAGGAACTTCAATAGATTGCAAATCAACTGTACACAGATATAGGGACAGCACTAAGCTCACCAGCAGCCAGTCCATGTCCTTATCACAGGGTTTGAGGTCGTTTGTATGGCACAAACCCAGTGTGTTATACTTTTTATTGGCATGCTCCTTGTTCTTACTGCACCTCTCAAAATCTAACTTGCAATCCTGCCTTTTTATTGCTTCTCCGTTCCTTGTAAATTGTTAAGAGAATTTTTTTCCCCAAGATTATACCCTTTAGCTCATACGTTGTGTTTTCTTGTAACCTTTTTTCTGGATAATCTATGGAAACTGTCAAGGGATGAGATATAATACCTCGAGGGAGAGAGGTTGACTAACGTATATAAATACAAACTGTAAATACATTACGTACCACCTACAATCAAATTGAAATGCACGCAAAGAAAATTGGTGTAAATTAAAAGAAATGTATTGTAGAAGAAAGCACCAATGCCAGCAGCGATGTCAGCTTAGAGTGATTTGCCTTAGTAAAATCCCGCCATTTTATTCCCATGTCTACTTGACAACTGTCAAAAAGTTATAACCTTGAAGACAATAATTTGCTGCTCTTGTTAGAACCGCAGCAAATAACACTTTTAGAGGGATAAGTTACAAATGGATGTAAAACAATAGAAACTCCCACAAGTGATGAACAAATAACTTTACCTCATAATATCTACACATTATCCAACAAACAGGTAATGAGAATAATCAAACTTATCAGGAAGAAGTTGTTATCTTGATCTAACATCAAAAACCTACAAAAAGTTACAAGGAAATGTATATCAGGTAGAGGGGAAAATTAACAATCAGAACTTGGGAGTTAAATGGTTAAACCACCACCAGTATTATCAGTGTGTCATCTTTGTTGGTCATAAATGCATTGTGATCTTATTTTGCTGTCTTTTCTGTGGGGTACTTTTTTTGTATTAATATGAACAGGTTTAAATAATTGTAAAATGGAACCATGAGTTTTTTTATTAGACTAAGGGCTCCCATTTAACACCTAAGTTTTATAATGATGCAAAAGATCTTTTATTCAGGACTTAATGTTTTTCCAAACTTATGAAAATAGTTTGACCCTTTGACCCCTAAGTGTAACTAGCATCTAATTTCTCCTTACAATATCAGCCCTGAATCAAACATTAGGGTCATGAGAATAAAGGAAATGATCACCAACTGAAGAAGTTCTTTCTTTCTCTTTATTGTTAAACAAATTCTCCTGGTCAGCATCTTAGGAAATCGGTAGAGAACAATGTGGAGAATATGCATACTGATGATACAAGAAAGGGTTTATCATAAACAAATTACAAAAACAAAACTTTAGACTTAAACTTACTGAGCAACTCTTCACACCCTTAAAGTCTAAAGTTTTGTTTTTGTAATTTGTTTATGATAAACCCTTTCTTGT